CTCTCTGACATTCAGAATGTATTTGAGATCCCCATCGTCTGACAGGTCAGGCCATGCGGTACCCATACCTGCTCCGTCAGCGGTTGCCAAGTGGTCCATGGCTGAATGGTCACGCTCAAGCCAAGAGATCTAACTTCTGCTCTCGTAGAGGTTTGGCTGAGTTACTGTGTGATCTTTAAGCAGGTCATGTTCATTTTGTGCCTCAGTTTCCCCACCCGTGGAGCAGGGCTTGTAGCTTAAAAAAGGAGAGAGTAATGCATTAATGGATTAATGCTTGCAAGGCACTCGAAAAGCGTTAAATGGAACGTGGTATACTCCTGCAAAATATGTTTACTAATTAACCGTCAGAGATCTGCTGGTTTATTAGGAACCTTTCAGAGATACGCCTTCTCATTAGCCTGGTACAAAACAACCCACAGCAGGAGGGAACAAGTTGCTTCGAACAAGGTTCAACTTTCTGCCAGTTTAATCTTCATCTCATTGACAGACTTCTGAATCTTAATTTAATTATAGTTCCTTAAATGTTTTCTGATATCGTATCTCAATCTCTCTGTTCTATGTCTTTTTATAGTTTCTTTTTTGTCATGGGACAGAGGAATAGATAATTTTTTCCAGTGTCCATTAAAATTCCCTTTGCCTGCAGTGCAGTATGCTCTATAAAAGAGATGAACCCGCTGCAAGTGAAATAAGCTGATGCTGCACTGTCTTTTTACAGCAACAACAATCTTTATAGATTATTTTTTCCAAGTGTCATGAATCTACTTCAAAGTCGCAAACGACTGTTATCAATTAATATACTTAATAGTCCCATTTTCAGTTCACATGCAGGCCACACAGTCCATGCTCACCCTGGCAGATGCTTGAAAGCTTTTGCCTTTCAGAGATAAAGTGTTGCCTTGCATGTGATGGGGTGCGAGGGGGGGTGATTTGGGGGGGGAGAGACATGTTAAAGTGCAGCACCTGAGGCCTTCTTGTTTTCTGAATTTACAGTCTCAGGCTGGCAGTCGTATAAATGAGTGATGCTCTCTGATGTTCTCTTCCAAGCAGGCTACAAAATTGGCAGGGAGTCTTCGGTTTTGTGCTGATGTGTCCAGAATTCAAATAATTTGATTCTTGGGTATAATGACAATTGGAGGCACAGTATTACCTTGAGAAAAAGAGATGGGAGAGACAGCTTCTGTATCCTGTATTGAATTAACAACCGATTCCCATTTACTCTCTCCGCTGAAAACTCTATTATGCGGGGTTCTTATTGCCCTTATTCAAGGGCATAGAATTAAAAAAGTGATATCAACGGTAATGCTCTCATCTTCCTACTGTGGCATTGAATAATGGGGACAAAGAAGGGAAATCTTGAAGGCTGATACGCCTTTTAAAATACTGCTGATATTCAAAACACATAAAGGGCAATGCATTTGAGTATCAGCTGATGAAGCCATATTCAGATTATTGTGCTTTTTGCCTATGCCTTTAAATCATCTTTGCTTTTATTTTCGCCGTTGTTTTTGGAACGTTTTATTTTCTTGTGATTTCAGGAGAGAGGCCTTACATACTTGAGATGAGGATGGAGGTGAAGTGTTGGTTACACTAATTCCAAGAGAAATCTGTTCTCTCTCCTCCTGGATCCGGAGAGCAAGAGTTAGGAATTTGGCAGGGAAAAGTCCACCCACAGACTGGTGTAATTATAAAAGTAGAGTAATACTACTGCTCAAGTGGAGGCTCTTCTTCTGGCACAAGTTGTCATTTTCCAGATCAGCTGAAGCCCTTTCTGAAGTTACATATCTAGTATCTAGTTACATATATAGATAACTAGATACATAACTGTATCTAGTTACATATATAGACTAGATAAAACTGGTGGTCTTATAACAAAATAAGAATATCCACTGTGGGCCCTGCAGCGTCCTTCCTTTACAAATATACCCGCTTAGGTTTTAAAATGTATTTTCCTTTGTAAATGATACCTTACACAAAATAATGAGTGAAGTTCCATTAGGAAGTTTTAAATGATATTTTACAGAATAAGTGGTAATATCTCCATTTTACAGGCAGGCAACTGAGAAGCAGAATATTTAGCTAACTTGCCAAAAGTCACACAGGAAATACTTTCTGATGTGGGAACAAAACACGGATCTTGCTCTCGTTAGCGCAAAACCACAAAGCCTCCCTGAACTATTGACACGCTTACCTAATCTTAACCCAGATGTTAACGAGGCCCCTTACACTAAATTTTCAGTCAAACCTCTCTGTGAGGTGGAATCATGAAAATCAGCTCTGCAGCATGCTGAGTAAGGTTAAAAATTGCACTGGGAAGGTTTTAGGGAACAAGTGTCAAAACTCTCACCTGCAATGACCTCAGTTGGTTCTGACCACATCGATGCCATCGTTATGCTGGTGTAACTGTGATTGCAGTTATTTTAGAGTCAGTTACACCATCATGCTATAGGAGATCAGGATGTGGCTCAAAACCTCTTCATAGCAATTCTGAAAAGTCAAAATCATGGTTTGCTTTGTCAAAGGGAAGCTCATTTTATCCCCCGCTGCCCCTCACACGGTCGGGACCATCGGCAGGTGGCTACCGGTGATCTGAGACGCGTGGTCTTCGTGCAGAGACCCTTCAGCTGGCAGCGCGGTGGGATGGAGCGGAGTCCCAGTCTCCCCGCCTCCCCAGCGTGTGACGCTCCCTTTCATACCTGTTCGTCTCCATCATTAGCGTGTGACCACAGAAAAATCAGCTTTATAGCTGGTAGCCATCATCTGCAAAATTTTCTTGCCGTGAACTAGTAGATGTTCATGAAGCCGTAAGCACTCCTCCGCCCTGCTCGTACAATAGTGCTATCGAGGTATATTTTTTCGGGGAAAGGAGAGGGGGCGAAAGAAGAGGGGCTCTGAGAGGGACGTCGCAATGACATGGCAGGGCATGACGACCTGGAGAGCTTCAGAGGCATCAGCCACGAAGCTGCTGGTACTACCTTGTCTGGTGATGCGCAGCTCACTGCGTGTATGTGCTCCCACGCTCCGACCCGAAGCACGATGGTGACCTCCACCCTGCGACAGCATCCTGCTGACATCCAGCGAGCTCTGTAAACTACCAGGGGTATGGAGACTTCGTTTCTAGCTGGAGAGAATATTTGCGAGGAGCCTCCGAGGGAGAAGAGAGATGATAGCTGTAGTTTCCCTGGGTACATAGCTTTCTTGCTTGTGCTGGCAGGGATACATTTTAGGCTAAGAATTAGAATTATGGCCTCCAGAGGTCAGCGTATCACTTGGGAAGAGCTAAATCACAGAGCCCTCAAACTGTATTTGTCAAGCATGAGCTCATTCTGTCCTCTGTGTAGTATCCAACTTCACTTACAATAAGATTTAAAGGTTTTGTCCCCAATGCTAGTTGTGACAACAAAAGCAAGAAAAGAAAAAATTGGTCTCAGAGTATCCATTGTAAAATGCAAAATATCCATTGTAAAATGCAAAATGTTGTCATTGGTCAGTACTGCCACTTGGATGAGAGGTCCCTTAGGTGACAGGTTTATGGAAAATAATCAGATTATCGATATCCATATGCTTAGATGCTATTCCTTACATGTTAGTACTGATGGGGTGAATGGACCTGCCAGCTGTCTTCTGAGTGGACTGTCAGACTTGTTCAACTGTGTCATAAGCTTTATTTTTTTAGTACGTTTGAACACAACGTGCAGTTCTAGTGACACTCTTGAAAATGATAACGTAGGACCAGAACATATACAGAGATGTAAACAGAGATTATCAGAGGCGTGAAACAGCTTTCATGCAAGAAGGAACTTAGATTATTCATCTCAGAAAAAATAGGTTGGAGGGAATATGATATAGGTCTTTAAAGTCAAGAATAGTGAAAAAAAAAGGCGGTAAGAGTTGACTATTCATTCTCTCTCACAATATGGTGGTCAACCAATAAAGTTATCAGGCAACAGGTTTTGAAATAAACACAGCACAGAATTAAACTGTGAAAATCGTTCCTTTGGGACTTCATGGAGGCCGAAGAGTCAAAAAAAGAGACTAGGCAAACTCACGGAGAATGGGTCCCTGGGTCGGTGTTAAGCAGAGGGGTCTGAAGGCAAGCTCACCCAAAGCTCACTGGACCTTCCTGCAAGCTGGGAAGGCTTCATGCGGAGGTCGTGCCCGCTCGCCTGACCACCCACTACTTGTCTCTGTGGGAGTAAAATACCGAATGTCCACTTTTGCCTGACCAGGTGTACTTCTCATGTTCTTAGTATTACTACAATCCTAAGAAACTTCCTTCTGCTTAAGAAGCAAGTGACAACAGTCTTTGCGGGAAAGGCTCTGAACTTAATTCTTTCTAGATACTAGCAAGTATTGATTGGCTCTACTGATATTATACTGGATTCAATAATCCAGAGCAAAATCAGGAGGAGCTACCTTTCTAGAACACCCCTAATCTTACCTGATCTCCTCTGAGATCAGATAGGCTCTGTCTTCGTTGCGAAGTAACACCCAAATGTATTTCTGTGTGGGTCACCAGCCTCAAAACATCCTCATAAACACCAGAGAGCCTCAGTGTCACGAAACACTACCTAATTTCTCCTACACCACTACCTAATTTCTCGTTAGCATGAAGAACTCTACAAAGAGTTCTTACAAAGAAGAACTCTACAAACACTTACAGTGTTCTCACATTACTGCTTTGAAACACAACCTTAAGTGGATCCAGCAGGCATCAGCCGTAGACAAAGTGTAGAAACCCTGCTACGAAAAAATTAAAATAAATAATACAAACAAAAAAATCCAGCTGAACTCCAAAAAAAGGAATAACAACACTCAAATCTTCTGTTATTTTTATTAAAGCTGCAGAGTCTTACTACACACAACAAATATTTTATTGATATAATCTAAGTTAATAAAATAGTTGAACAACTCTTTAGATTTATATTTGTATAGAAATGATCTGTGGAACATCTCATCTTGAAACAGCAGTGCCCAAAAACAACTATTAATAAAGAAGAGGTTGGGACTAGAGGATGCACTGTTCATTCTCAAAGAAAAATAAAATCCATGCAGAAATAACCCCCACCCTCTTCCCGCTTTCTTTCCTACCCAGAGTGTAAGGCCGTATAGAATGACCACGTAAATGATGGCCCTTTTCCTCCAGTATTCTTCCTCATGTCTACATTAGGAGCTGTCGTCTAAACTCAGTAACTAAAACAAGACGGAAAGAAAATTCAATTGCACAATCCTAGTCTGCAGGTGACAAAGTCATAACATCTCTTTACAGAAGTCCCTACTCTTTTTCCAGTTAGGAGAATTGGCTATCGCGTTGTGTTTGTTCCCCAACCCTCGCCTACGTGGCTGTTGTCAGTTATTGTCCATACGCCTTTGTTAAGAGAAGTCAGTCTATCTACTATTGCTGCGGTCTCCCTTCTTCACCTCTATGCAGTTTAGATTCTACGTAGCACTGCCTGCAAAGGGCCGACTCCGAGGTATTTTCCCCCCATTTTAGACAAAGCCCATAGCTCAGGGGATGATCTCCTCACTGCAGCTATGCATCGGTGTCGCCCGTGAGATGTCTTTTATAGACTATGAGGCATGTCTTTGCTAGATCATTCCATTTATCTTAGTCCACTCGTAGATGTCCTGTTCACATACTATGTCCGAGTTGATGAGGAGGTATCTGTCCCCAACACAGAAGTGTTTCTGGCAGGCAGCACATTTGAAGCATTCAAGGTGATACACTTTGTCCTTCACCCGCATGGTCATCTCGTAAGCCCGGATTCGCTTGTCGCAGGAGGCGCAGAGGCCGTCTTGGCCAAAGAGCCTAAAACAACAACAGCAGAGAAGTAAGCAGAGTTCCTTTGCTGGGGAGGTGGGAAAAACCAAATCAAAACAAGAACACAACATCAGTGCCTTGATCCGATAGTCATAGTATTGCCAAGTTAGACAGAGGTCACATGGAAAGCCGCCCAGTGGAACTCTAAACTTTGCAGTCCCAAAAATTGAAGTAGAAAGTTCAAGGTCCTCACCTATTTTCAACAGAATTGACTTCTCTGATCAATGACCTTATCCTGAATTGCTGAGCAGCTTCAGGAGGAGTAAAGGTTCCCCAGATCAGAGCATAAAGTTGTGCCATGCTAATACTTCCACTTCCATGACCGGTAGAAATTACCTTTCTGTTGATAAATTTTGCCATCTTCAGCTGTTGCTATTGTAGTTTACAGAAGGGAGTTGACACAAGCCATGGTCTAAGACTCCCCTGCCTCTTGTCGTTGCCTCCACAGTGGAGATTCTTTCAAACCCGAACATTTCTATATCCATGAAGTCCCTCCTGCTGGGTTTCAGATGGATACGTGCTAAGACCTTTGAGATACTTATGCTAGCCCAAACAATTTTATGATCTGGACCGCTTTTTAATCTGCATGGAAGAACCCTGCTGAGATCACGACGGTACTGTCTCTCAGAAGGCGGCTCTAATGGACGCCCTGCTGTGTATTGCCCTCACAGCATCCCCTGCCGTGCCCCTGGCGCAGTGCGACATCCTCGGCTATGTGTGAACGCCAGCCTTTCCTGCAGTCTGCTGGCTACAGGTGGTAAGTCAAATCATTAACAAATAAGCATGAATATATTGGGGTTTTTTTCTTAAAAGGGGGGAGAAATGCTACGTATTACTTGTTCAAAGTGTACACCTATCGAGGTTGACTTCTAAGTTTCCATACTAATTCTGGAAAGAGTTTTTCCTACACTTCTCTTACATGTGCTGTGCCTGCTTCATATCATCTTCCGAACTGGAAAAAGAATGCCCACTAAATTAGGAGATACCTTTAAGGGGAAAAGACATCGTTTCTTCCGTCTACCAGGAGATGTCAGTGTTTACTTCTGCCCAACGAAAGTAATACTAAGGTTTCACAAAGGTTGCCAAATTTTTCATTAATGAGAGAAGAGATATTATATGTTGCATTATTAAATAAATGAAAACGTTGAATTTCACTGCAAGAAAATACATTAATTGTATTGCCATACTTTCTGTTTTTTCCATTTTAAGATGAAAAGAATTTGGAAAGTGTAACTAACACTGGATCACTGCTGGACTCGTGTGTCTGTGGAGTATTTATGAGCAGCCCCATTAGCAGAACTCAGTTCTTAGTTTCTGCTTAGCAAAATTCCCATCGGCAAAGCTCAGGGACACCATAAGTAGGAACTCCACTGAGATTTTGTTTTAGTTTTTATTGGCAGGTAAATTAGCCTTCAGTAAGGTAGCTGAAAAAATATCAAATGCCATTATTCTGTTCCACAGACCTCCTGTGACAGCAGGGATCCAGTAGAAGAAATGGTGCACAGCCAGCACAGCAAAGATCAATACACTTTAATTGTAATCAAGAATGTAAAGATCCCTTATTATAAATTTTTTGTGAAATACCTTCATCTCAATTTAATCCTTCTACTTACACATTTTGGCAAAACAGATAGGCAGAGAGACGTTAATGAAAATACCTGTAACAAGGGTATTTGTAGGATCTGATTCAGCAAAATGGATAAATTCTTGTCTATTCAGGACCAGGCTTAAGAACGCTAAAAATCCACTGGATCCGAATTAGTGCAATCAATCCACTGGATCCAAATTAATGCAATCAAACTTTCCTGTACTGGCTGTAGCTTTGCCATAAACATACAGCACATTGCATCCTTCTGCTTGAAGCATCCCAGATAACTTTACCAGCGATGCAGAAAAAGACAGGGATCAATCCCAGTATAAAAGGCGATGGCTTCAGACACCAGACCGGTACAGCAGCCCTGCTGGCTAGTGGAATGAAGCATCTCGTATAGAGCTGATATTACTGCATCAGAAAAATGAATTTAATTTGGTTACCTTGGATACCGTGTTCTTAAATGAGAGAACTAAATGATCTTTCATCAGTCGCCGATCTTGGCACCTGGTTTTATATACCTTTCGGCTCCAAGGCAATGCTTGGAGAAGCACAGAACTTCATAAAACCATTCGGGGGAACCGGTTCATTGTCAGCTCAGAGGGAGCTTGCTGAAATTCATCACCTTTTCCCAATTTCTACTTGCCAGAATCCCACGCTGACCCGGCGCGGTTCGCCTGGAGCTGTCAGGTTATGGCTGTGCAGACTGATCAATGCCAGCAACCCCAAAGTCCCAGGAGTTCTTACTATATTCTTCACATTTTCAAATAATTCTGGTTTGTCCATAACACATAGCAATGCTTTCATTTTCATTAAAAAACGCTTTTTTTTTAATCCAACAAGATTTTTAAGGTTTAACCTATAAACATCTCTAAGCGACCTAATCAACACGGAGAACCTCTGGATTTACCTATGACTTACAGAAGAACCCCGGCAGTACCATAAAGCATCTGTGCACGAACCCCCCAAATATATGAGCCCATATGGTAAACCTGAGCGTGCAAACGGTGCTGCGTTACAACTGCGACTGCCGTCAGGCTTTACGGTCAAGAGTAACCAAAAACGACTTCTTCATGGATCTTTGCTCACTAGCTATAAGTAAATGAATAAGCAAAGCTGAAACGATAGAAAGAAGGGGAGCGAGGGTAGAAGGAGCGGGTTGTGTACCTGAGATAGTCCCTTCTGCAGAGCTTTCTGCCCAGTTTGTAATACAACCGTCTCCCCACTTCTCCGAGCCTGCACCCGCACAGGTCGCAGCTGAGGCAGTCTTCATGCCAGTACTGGTCGATGGCTTTCAGGAAATAGCGGTCCCCGATGTTCTGCTGGCACCCGCCGCATGTCAGCAGCGAAGGGGGAATTTGGAGGACTTCATCCACTGGCTCCCTGGGGGAATGAAAGAATCGTCGGAGAAGGAAAAGGTACTCTGAAAGCATCCACAGGAGAAGAAGGAGAAGGAGAAACAAAACACAAGATCGGTCAAGTTGGAACAGGGGTTACATCCTCATTTTTTCTCCCAGCGGAGTAAATGATTTATCCGCTTTTGACATCAGAGGGAGCAGGACTTCACTCTTCTTTTGCTTTAAAAAAAGAAAGAACAGCTTAAAATTTAGAGGTAATAAGAGCATGCAAAAATTTGCTAACTAGTTTTTTTATTTTTCTTCAAAGAATAATGCATAAACATGACAATCTCTATCACCCGTGTGTATTCACTACTGTAAAGGCATCTGCTACTTTACCAGGACATTGGTGTCTGTGTAGATACATCATTTTTCTTCTACTGGACAGAACATGAATTGCTCGGTCATGTGTCTCAATCCACGCAGTTCTTGTAAAAGAAATACCTTTCCCGTAACATGATTCTTCCTTAATTAAAGATTGCACTTTTTCAAAAGTACCATCAAAAAGCTGCCTGGATTCACCATTTCATAGAAACGCTGGTTATGTCTATACAGACCAACAGATGCCAACAACCCCAAAGTCCCAGGAGTTCTTACTATATTCTTCACATTTTCAAATAGTTCTGGTTTGTCCACAACACATAGCAATGCTTTCATTTCCATTAAAAAATGCCTTTTTTTTTCCAACAGTATTTTTAAGATTTACCTATAAACATCTCTAAGCGACCTAATCAACACAGAGAACCTCTGGATTTACCTATAACTTACAGAAGAACCCCAGCAGTACCATAAAGCATCTGTGCATGAACCCCCCAAATATATGAGCCCATATGGTAAACCTGAGCTTGCAAACTTTGACTGTTAGTGCCGCTGGAAGCAAAGGGAATTTCTGTCTCACCAAGGGCTAAAGGACTAGAAGAGGCACCTGAGGGATTTTCCATGCAGTCAACTTTCCGTTGGGAAATGTAAATTTAAAGACTAAGTCTGGGGATGTCATTTCTCTGAACAGCATGAAATGAATAAATAACAGATGAGACTGTTGCCCAACTGGTTTAAGTTTTGCTGCCGTTTTTAATAGAGCCAGAATTTTACCTGATGTTACTGCAGGACTTCTTTTATTCCTTCAGCTAAGGACATGCGTCCCCTGGGGGGGGGTCTATGCCAACATAACTCAAACAATTATTTGGGATTTGCACATCCCTGCGTGAAAAGAGGCACAAATCTTTATTGTGGTATTAGCACTGACTATAATGCACAATATTTTTTTTCCCTTTTTAAAAAGCTCAGAAATCTAGGGTGGTTCTGGTAATACCTGGGGATAAAGCAAGAATTTTCTTCAAAGCTACTTTCTTAAGGAATTCTCTTCTTTGCCTTTTCGTGTAATTTTACCAGTTCTGCCAAAAAACAAAGAACAGCAAAAATACTAAAAGAAAGGCGCCTGAGCTCAGTTCTGCAAGGTTTGCAGTGACCTGGTGCCCCATCCAAATAAAAAAACCTACTGGATCAATCCTTTAGGCACTTGCTTAATTTTAAACCTGTGGCTAGCGGCAAGGAAGGCGTACGTTTGCACATTTATGCTTTGCTGGATGATGACCGAGGTGCTCAATATCTGGTAGAGCGGAGCCCCAAATTTTTTCCTACGTTGTTGGGTTGTCGCTCCAGCACAGAGTCCCTCAACGCTTTGTTTCTGGCGCTGGTCTGGCCTCTCTTAGGCTGGTGGGGGCAGAGGAGACCAACGCTGATAAAGAAGGATCAGGCTGCTCCCAGTTTCCAGCAGCCAACAGGAAAAAATTATATTACTACTACTTCTTTACTGGGTCAGCTCTTTTCTGGGCAAAAATTACTTTCTTCAGTAGAGAGAAATGACCACTGGTCAAGAACTTCTGTGCTGAGAAACTGCTCCTGCAGTTTTTATTTAGGCAAGCTGAGCCCTAAGGTATTATCTGATTATATTCTGTTCTGGTTTTCACTCTTCTAAGTTTAAACTGCTGTGCCCTGAAAGTTGTGTCATAACATCCCTCTCCTACCAGGTCTCCCTCCTGTGAGTTTTCATTGAAATCATGGGGAACTCTGTATGCGATTAGGCCCTAGTTTTTTGAAGTTTATTCTTTTGGGCCCCATACTCCCTTTCCTAACGTGTGGGCTCCACTCTGACAAGTTCTCAGAGCCTTCCAATAGAAGGAAATGCACATTATTATCCATTATTTGAAACTTCAGATATACCCCAAAATATTTCATCTTACGGGCGTTCAGGAATCACAAACCAGGTCTCTCTGAAAGCCCTAAACTCCGGAACAGCCTGGCGGATGTTTATGCAGAACAGAACTGCTGGTTTATGCATTAGCTTTTTGATGTCCATAGATTTCTAAGCCGGCACTTAAGTCACTAGAACACAAGGCAAGTAAATAAATAAAGATTACTAAAACTTTGTAGTTGAAACCGGGACATCATATACCTAGGAGCTTGGATTATCGTTTCTTAAAAAACAGTATAAAATAAGGGAAAATGTAACGTATAAAATAAGAGAAAATGTAACATATAAAACTTATCAGATGTGACACGGAATGAATTGATTTAATCCCCAAAAGAAACAGTTCCCATGTGTTCACTCCGGGCTTCAAGCAGTGGCATTTTTAGTATCTCACAGGAAACAAGCCACCAATGACTCAAGTTTACTGAGAGCAATGTTTTAAGCATTATCTGAAAATGGAGATTTTATAATTTTCTTTTTTCTTGTGTCTTATCGTGATTCCAGACAAGCATAACTGCAGTTGTTAGCACGTACAGGGCTGAAACGGCTCTGGTTTTATGCTGAGTTGCCATGCCTCTCGCCAGCGGGATGCCCGTGTGCGCAGGAGGGACGGGACAGCTGCGGAGCACAGCCCGAAAGCCCAAAAGCCCGAAAGCCGGGATCAGGACACGAGAACCCATCCCTTCCCCGAGTGGAAAACCCAGGGAGCGAAATTCTCATCGTCTACATCCCGTCAATCAAGTCTTTCTACATGCCCTTCGCAGAACACCCTGCCCCCACCAAAGCAGTTTATACGAGCTCTTGAAAGTTGCATTATGAAAATGTGGAAGTTGGGCACCCACAGATAACAGCTCTGACCTTTCGCTATAGTCGGCTACAGCGAGCTGGGCAGATCGAAGATGGGGCGGAGAGGGTCCCTCCAAATGAAAAACCCCCTCACATTTGGGAAGCGTGATGCTCCCCCTCTCCCCGAGCCGGCCCCAGCACCCCCGGCTCTCAGGAGCGGCTGGAAAATGCCCTGCCCGGGGG